TCAGCAGGATGAGACACTGCTCCAGGGCATGATAGGACCTACACCTGCTCTCCACAGACACTGTTAACCCCTTCCTTTCCAAAATGTTTATGTACAGCCTATCATACGTATATGTTTAAAAAAAACCAACACCCACTCTTAAGTCTATTTTAATTTCAGTTAAGCTGCCAATGAGTTTATGTTCTGAACATATATACTTTACAGTAATAGTAATGGGCATTAACAATCTATTTCAATAGTACTTTGAAATTTACAAGCAACAAACAACATTAAACAGCACTTGACTACATTTATAACGACTCTGAAATCTTCCAGGACATGCAAGAGAAATCAGATTTAGCTTGGTATTTTACAGGCCACTGAAGACAGTTCTGAGAAAAGTTTCTGCTAAAATATTTAATCAATAACATTATTTTTATATTAATCAAAACTCTTTTAAAAGTATGTTACTTAACACAAACTTTCCAGGAGACAATTTAAAAATACCTTTTTATGGCAATTTTTTGTTTAAGAAAAGTTTAAATTGTTATTTTGAATTCTGAACTATTCCTATTTTGTGATTTTTTTATTATTTTTTTACACTATTCCAGGTAAGTTGTATACTGAAAATATATTTATGTTGAAAATACTACATAAAATGCTGCAGTTTTAGAAAACAAAAAAGCTGATTCTTCACCAAAAGTCCAATGTGAAGATGGTAATGATGTCTCAAGTTATTTTTTCTCTGTCAATGGGCAGTTTAAGTTCATGTTGCTTAGGCAAGGAACAAGGAATATTAATAAAGCAGGACATGCAGTCTTCCAAATCTGACTTCTGTTAGAAACAGTAAGCATGAAGGGCAACTGAACTTAAATCAGGACTTTTACTTCATGTGTGTTATAACACATATGTGTAAAATTATCGACTGACAAAACTGAAATGTAATACATGTCTCTAAATTATGGTTTCGGTTGGGGAATTTAGATAATGGAAGAAAAATACTTAATGTTCTGATTTTCAAAGTGTTTCTTTCCAGTACACCTAGCCTCTATCATTAGGTTTTAGTCATATACAGCTTATTTTTAATGTGGGTTTGTTTTGTTTTTTTTTTAATTTGGGACATTTCCTTCTCCATGGTTCAGTTCTGCAGACCTTCCCTGGGCAAAACTCTCAGTGAAATAATTGTGCACAGATGTGAACATACCTGTAGGGCCACTTCATCTTTTGAACATCTTAATTTATTTGTGTCAAATAAATAGTACTAAGCAGTAATGAAATATAAATTGAGTTCTCTTTTAAAAACGGAAGTAATATTTCCAGAAAAATACTAGTAGCTCAATCCTTTTGTTCATCATAAGTAGAAATCGTAAACTAAATGTGAACTGATTATGGTGAGAGCTAACAAAATCAGTAAATAATTACAAAACTTAACAGTAATGCAGTAAGATTGCAATATTTCACTAAAGTTACTCTCTGGGAAAAACTCAACCAGTTGATTCATTCAGGAGGTAGATAACACCTATTAATCCCAGCAGACATTCTGACTGCAGTAGGGTTCAAAAGCAGATCTTAAGGAATCAAGATTGTACAGGTCTCAGTAATATTTTCTTCCTCGACAATCTTTCTTAAGAAAAAAAAAATCACATGCTGTGGCTAATATGGTAACATTGTGCTCCACACCTCTTCAAATTCTTTTTTACCTTATCTGTATTTGTTTGTTTGGGTTAACCTTCTTTTGAGAGAAATGGTAAAATACTAGTAACTTCAGTCAGAAAAGACTACAGATTTTTAACATCCTGGGATCAGAAATATAATATACAACTTAATCCTAAAAAGGGATCTCATGACTTGAGCCAAATGGAGTTATAAGTGTCAGTGTTACCCTCTGATTCGGTCTGTACTTTTTTTTTTTTTTAGAGCTGTTTGGCTCAATAAAAAAGCTGGGAATTCATCCACCACTTATATCCTCAGATAAAGTGCGTTTTTAATCTGTAAATTATTTACTTATTTTGTACTTCATTTCCTTCACAGCATTTATTTCACATCGTAACCTTTTACTTTGATTATCGGTATCTTAATGAGAAAAATAACTAATCTTTTATTGTGTCTATGCACTGCAATTGTGCTTCTGAAGTTACTGACTTGCATTGCTGTCAAATGTCAACAGTGTTTAGAATCTTTCAAGTATACATAAGATCACTGGTAAAGCAATATAGGTTCAAGGCACTATGATTAAAGCAATACTCAGTTTTTAGAAGCTGATTTTAGAAACAGATTTTCAACATAATCTTCCCTTCTCCCTTCCCATATCAGACATCTGTAATTAGAGGAACATACCTTGGCATAGAATATATGAGAAAAGGAAATGGAGGTGATGGAGGAGTAATCATTAACATCTCATCTTTGGCAGGTAAGAATATTTTCTCTATAAACACTTTCTACTCATTGGTTTGTTCCTAAAACAAATGAATCATACTGATCAGTAACATTTTTTCTTCTTTCTTATGGTTCTTCCCTGCTTATTCCAATTTTGACCTCATTTTCATCATAACAAACCAAGTAATATCACGTGACCACAACTTTCTTTTGTTGTTCAATGAAAATTTCAGTAATTTTCTTAACCTACCAGCCTTGTATTTATAATCGTGAGTGTGATGTTAATTTTTTTCAGGTACTATTACTGTCATACATTGAGCAAAGCCTAACTAGCCTCAATTCATTATGCTTATTCAAGACTATTCAATAACACGGCTGAATTGAAACATGTACACCATGTTGTGTGTAAGAAACAATATATATATAGACCTAATTTTAATTCAGAGTTACTGATTATTATTTATATTATATTTATCAGTCATCCAATATGGAAAATCAGATAATATTTTTTTCACAGAAAGTGAGCAAGCAGTAGCAGGTCTTCTATTCAAAACCATAAGAGCACAGCTACAGGAATGATTAGACTGTATCTACTTTATTAAGACTGTCACACACCAGTTCTGTCCATGCTCCAACTCCTCTCAGATGTGATCTACCTTTGCTTGAGAAAACATACAATTAACACTCACATTTCATTGAGCTTAAGCGAGCGCATTCTTTGCTCACTACTTGTCTATGCTATAACTGTATTTCCATGTATTGGCTTAAGGATATGATTATATGGCTTCTAAGCCAGTCAGGGCTATTACTGCTCAATTGTGAGGCAGAATCCTCCCTTTCATGTAGGTGCACATGTTGCAGTGGCTGGGGTCATAGCAAAAAAGCACAGCTATGGGGAAATGGTAAATAGCAAATACCAGTTGGCTCTCTCCCTTCAAAAATTTGTGGGGAAATACTTGCATTCTCTCTTGTTTGTTTGAAGAGTCTGCAAGATCTTGCTGCTGTCAGGAAAAAATTATATACACCCTGGCTTACACTTGGATTGCCAGTGCTTTTTTTGGCATTCGTGCAGAATACCAAATAGTAGTAACTTTATTCTGTGGCATTCCTATATGTTTTAACAATGAAAAGGCAGTATGACAGCAGCAGCCATAGTTCCTGCACGTGAAAGGGGATTAGTGGCCAAGAGGTGTGAGTGTTCTGAGTACTATTAAACTCTCTTGCAAACCTTGGCTTTTATGATGAGAATTCCAGTTCTCTCTATTGATATAATACAAGTGGATCTTGAAAATCTGAATTAATATATTCACATGCCTCATATCAATGAGAGGTCCTTTATTGAAAGTGTCTATGTACTTTAAGTCAGCACTTGTGTAACACATTACCTACTCATGCCAGAAAGTTCATCTGTGTTGGCTCAAAGGGACATTTTATAAGGACCAAATTAACCTGAAGGAAACTGCTATTGCAGTACTAGAGGTCATCAACACAAGTAAAAGATTAAGCTTTTTCACAGAAGTGCTGATGCCCATGCAGTGCTTAAGACAGGGCAGAGGCAGCAAGTAGTTTGATTCAGTTTCTAACTAGTCTCAAACTAACACAAAATATTTTTTATTTTAAGATACAACACTTTAGCTTTTCTAGGTTTGGTAAGAGTTTATAAGAGCCATTTTGATGATTTGATCAAAACGTTCATTTATTTACTTACTTTTTTAACATTAATATTATGCCATAATGTTCCTGGGAACCTGTCAAAACCAAAATGTTCTTTACTTTGCTTGCTTTTACATAGCTTGCACCTAGCACTTGTGTCCAAGGTCTCAAGAAAAACACGTTAGAAAAGTTGCCTAACACTGTTTTTTTAAAATTTCTTTACTATTATTTGTGCTTTATGACTTTCCTTTCCAGCCTGTACATCTAAGTCTTGCTGTTTGTTCCATATATAAAAAGCAAACTGCCATTAGCTTGTTTAACCTTCTCTTCTAGTGTTTCCTTTTCTTTGAGCTACCTTCTGTTGATCATTAAACTTTTGAGTGGTTTTGATCCCCCCGTCCAAGTTTTAAGATTTTATCAGAGATGCTCTGCAGACAGCAAATGCTCTTGTGTCTTGCTGAGCAGCAAGAAGAGCTATATTTAGTGCTTATGTAACATTCAATACTCGCTTTATGCACTAATGAGTTTCCAGTTCTTCACCACGGGAATTTTGCCAATGATTTGAACTAGGGACAGAATCAAGTCTTTCAGTTTTATATTTCCAAACGCCCACAGAACTACTTCAATGCTTCCTATGAAGTGGATGCTTGAAGTGTTTTCATTCAGCTGGATGAAAAGCCAGAGCGTCCCTCCCTCTTTCCAGCATTGATTCTTCTTTTCTTCAGTGTCCACAAGACAGGACTAAATACAAAAAGGAGAGAAATACATAAGGACATACAGCAAGCGCCCATTTTCTAAGCCAGTGCATCTCAAAGCTATGAAACTTTCTTAATTTTATGGGATTTTTGCATTTATATCAAGAAGAAGTAATACCACTAAACAACTGAGAAATGGGAAATGCTGTACTGCCAACTTGCCCCCATAAAAGATAATGCCAACAGCTGCAAGATTTTGCATTGTAATAAACTTCATTTCAAATTTAAAGAGTAAAATGCTGTAAAATTTCTTCTCTAGGAGCCAGCTTGTCCTCCTCCTTTAGAAAGTTTCAACCAAAAGTAATATTTAAAGTACTCCTCACAGCAAACAGGCTTCTTTAGGACCTGTTCCCATAGATATTACAAGAACAAAGCTAAGCATATGCTTAACATCTCTGAGTGAAGGCAAGACTGTGTTGGAGTGAAGCAAAGGTGTAAAGGGCTGTACAATTGGGACCTTCTGTTCAGCATCATGAAAGAGCTTCTATTGCCTTCCCTTTCTAAAAAGGAAGATGCTAAGCAGGATCCACAGGAGTGAAGTCAGAAAATTTAGAAACCATTCACTAGAGACTCCACAGTTTAAAAAAAATAAAATAAAAAATAAAATAAAAAAAAAATCCTAAAAATTACACAGCTTAGAATTTTCCCTAGGATTTCTGTCTCCTTTGTTTTGACACAGACCACAGCAGTATGACTGACATAATGAATGTGATCTTGGACCCCCTCCATATTCTTAAGAATGAGAGAACCAACTCTCTCAACACTCTGTAGGACCACCATGCTCCTAGCTCATTTCTCTAGTTACATATCCACTTCTTCAAAAGAGGCTTTGGCATTCAAAGAACAATGTAAGCATATTCCATAGTGTTTATCCAGACTTTTGCCTAAGGAGATTTCCGTAATGTGGTTTGGAAAGACATTTAATTTAAATAAATATGGCTAAATCTTGTGATGTTATTTATTTGCAAGTATTCTATCTGTTGCAAGAGGCTTTGACAAGTATATCTTATAAAACAAACCTAATATAGAAAGGAAAACAAATTCCTTTGCTAATATTTCCCAAGATATGGAAAAGCACTTTTGTTTTGTTTTTAAATAGTTTCCATTGGTTTGCCAAAACTTAGGTTCCAGCCTTTTCACATATCTTTTTCATAAACAATTAAAATTTAGAGTTTTAGGATGCCACATTAGTGACATGTGATAGGATTATCAAATTAGTGAGAAAGAATTTAAATATTTAATGGAATACTTGCATCTTTTAATAATGACTATAATTGACTAAAGTATAACTGACAATACAGCTTAATCATTTATATCACACATAACTGTAGTGTGGAAGCCATCCTTTCTGATCAGCCCAAGGCTTCTGCGAGATCAACAGCCAAGTGAGAAAACAGACTTTGGTTCTTGTATTCTCTGTGCTACGCTTATCCAAACATGAAGTACACTATGCCAACAGTTAATGAAATTTAAATATAGTATCAAACAGAAATTACATTTGTCTCAAGCTTCCTAACAGTGCACCAGTGGAGCAAATAGGGGGCAGAAACGTCATCTAAAAGCTAATAAATCTTACCCAACAGAGAGTCAAATCTCCAAGGGCAAGTCGTGTTCAGTGGGAAGGCACACCTGGGGAAAAATGCTTAATTCTGTATTTATCAAAGCTTTTCACTGGCCTGAAAGGAAGTACTGGTTTCAGCAAAGCTTACTGATACAATTCAATCTTATTGATATAGTCCTCCACCTCTGATATTAATTTCTCAAGATGCAAATATTAAGACTATTGACCATGACAAATAAGCAGTTGCAGTGAGAGGTCTGACACCACGTCTCAATTGGTAATGAGTGGTCTTGACACTATTACAACACACAGATTAGAGTACAACAAAGGGCAAGAGCTGTCTCTGTCAGCCCATTAAGAACTGAGAAATTTTTTTTTTTAAAAGCACAGTTAATATTGGTGCACAAGATTACTGATGGTCAGCTTGAATCAGTGTTGGTAAACAAGAGTACCTTCAGTCACCATGAAATTATATGCAATTCAAAAAATAGTTCTTGATGAAGATCATTTTAGAGGAGAAGAAAGCTCCTTGTCCTTTTTCATGGAGCAGTTCGGTGATGCAGCAATATTCAGAGAATGGAAAAATCTGTGCACAGTTGCCTCCCCTTGCTGAGAGAGACTAAAAACCACATGCATCACTTTCCAGGAGTACACTGCACCATCATCATCCATTTGAACACCCTATTTTGTGCATAATATTCTCCAGTCTGTTTCACGGCTGTTTCACTTTGCATTAGATAATTAAATATGATGGAAGCAGCAAATAGAATCCAGATTTTCTAAAAAATTACTTCCTTAGCTAATCTGCTATGAACTCATCTTTGCTCTCTGGTTGAATAAATACTCAGGGAGAGCAGGATCAATGTCACACAATGTTTCATCCCAAAATACTAGCTAGCAGAGTCCCTAGGACACACTGCTAGGTAGAGGCTCAGCACTCCCCGGGGAAGAGGAGTGGCTCAGAACTGCAAATACCACACTGTGGTTCTGGGTACCAGCCTTAGGAACAAAAGTAAGACAGAATTTTCATATTTTTTTTTGTGAGGGATGCTAGGACTAGTCTTCATTATCACTGCTTTGGCTAAAAGCAAGTCAACTGATTTCTTCTTGGTTCTCCATGATACCAAAAAACCCCTAATTTCAATTAGAAAATTATTTGTTTTAATGTTTTGATTCAATAAAAGAGAATCATAGGATGCCAGGTTGGAAGGGACCTCAAGGATCATCTTGTCCAAACTTTCTAGGTACTACTATAGTTTATTTGAGATGGCTCAGCACACTGTTGTCACGCTGAGACTTAAAACTGTCCAATGTGGGGGAATTCACCACTTCCCTTGAGAGACTATACAATGTTTGACTGTCCTCATGTTGAAAAGAGGATTATTTGTTCTTCCCTTTCTGACTAGTTATTTCTGGTGTTTTTACATTCAAGTAAATCTTTGAACCTTATTCTACTTCATTATTGTGAGCTATGCCCTTCCTTTGTTTATGTCTTGATTTTGTTTCTCTTCTCTGTCAAGAAACGAGTAATTTGTCTTACTATGTTTAAAAAATAAAATTTAATTCCTCCTCCTGTGTCTCCCAGTAGATTTTATCTTTTGTATGTCTGTTAGCTGCAGCCTCATTGGGATTGTTGGGGGTTTTTTGTTTAAAATATGTAAAAATAATCAGGAGTTTAAAAAAAAAAAAAGTATAATAATATTTCTAGTGTGCTAATATTACAATGTTTCCAATTATTTGAAGAGTGGTGATGATCATCAAAAATCACCACATAGAGGTGTGGTGAAAGCCTGTGTTGTGTTCACAGCCCAGAGGAGACAACACAAAAATCAGTTTTCATAAACCAGGTTTTCAATCAGAAGTTATAACACATTAACCCAAGCTAAGCAGATAAATGCAAGTTTAAGAGAACAACCAGCTACTAGATTAAGTTCTTCACTTCCCACCACCGAATGGCATGAATAAGTGTTGCTTTTACTGGATCACCAACGTAGCACTTAAACTAAGACAAAACCTTGAAGCTGTTAGGGTTAGAATTAGAGCCTTGTGCCATCTTGGAAAGTTTTTTCCTTCAGACAAAATGGATTCCAGAGCAAAAAGCACATGCAAGCCTCTGGCATACATAATTTGGGAAGTGTATTCTTCACCTCCACTGAGATAAGTCACGCTCTTTCTTGATTATATCACTTAAAGAGATTAAATAAAAGAATTTTAAAAACATATCTGAGATACTAATTTGAATGTTTCCATTAGAATAAAATATTAATGCTTCACAATCAGCATCCAGTTTTACAATAGCACATCCAGGAACACAGACAAATTTTACCCTCTAACTCTAGGACAGGCTGTAGTTTGCTATCTACATGATGACCCTAGCTTGCAGGTGGAAATACAACAACCATGTGGACCAGTTCAGCTGTCATGTATGGTGGAAATTGCTGGCTAACAGGCAGAAAGGTTGATGCACTCATAGTCTCTCATCTCTTCTTGACCAGCTTTTTGCCATCAAACTCAGCCAATTAAGTTTTTTATTTTCCTCCAAAATCTCTGTTCTCTCTTCTTTCTCTACTATAATGATTTTATGCTCAACCACTCCCACTATAAAGGTTCACAATGTTAGCAAACTTTTTAAATTTTGGTTCTCCTTTTCCTTACAGAAGATAGCAATATTACCCAGGATTGTTATGTCTCTTTTCTATTTCCTTCTAAAAGTCTTCATCTTGGCTTTCCATTCCAGAGCAGGGCCCATTATAGGAGGTAACATACAATTAAATCCTTTCCAACCAATCTAATTCAATACAGAAAATGCTTCTAAAATCTTTCCTACCCACATCTCTGCTGTGACTTCTTTCTGCTTTCTGAAGTCTTCATCTTGTCATTCCATTCACAGTGTTTACTCACATATGTCTGTAGTCTCTCTGCACTGAGGTTCTGCATTCACTTAGTGTTTTTTTCCTTTTGTTTATTGCAAAATGGCTTCCCCGTTTCATTTGAATCTCTTAAAAGAAAACCCTATCACCTATGAAATATTACCAAAGTTTTGTAAGTAAAATAAACTTTACAGTGCTTCAGACGGTGTATCAGGTCTGAATTACTTTGTTTATAATGGCTCCTTTGAGCAAAAACCACTATACAAAAGAGTATGTATTTGTTCTGGTACTAACCACATTGTCAAATAAATACGTGGTAATAATATTGCCCAGGCGGATGTATTGGCTGACTGTTCTTCAGGCAGCTGTGCAGCACATTCAGTCTTATCTCTTGTGTTAGGACTAAGGGAAAAGTTTTATCTCAGGCTGAGTTTTGTTACTATTCCACAGAAGCAACATAAGGAAAGGATTAAAATCAGATATTATGTTTTGATACATTACAAAGATCATATTGAATCAGTTACAATAGTGAAAATGGATTTTGCCCCACCTTTTCCCACACTTCCTCCCTGAAATCTCTGTAAGTGATAGCACGTGTCCAGTGTACATCTCAGCAGCTAGGGTGTCTGCAATCAAAGTTCATCTAAAACACTTTAGATACTTTATATACTTCAACTACTTTACAGATTCATAGATGGCAGCTCAAAAATCTCATTCTTGAGTGTTTTCTTCCAGATCCTGTCCTCCATTTAAAGTCATACTTCATAGATACAAATTTTCCTCTTAGAAGTTATACTTTTTTCTTACTCTTCTTTTCCCTCTTTGCGATTCTATCAATCTCATATTTTTTCCAGCCTACAAAATATAATTTGCAAATTTTTACTAATCTATTTTGTTGCATCTCTATAAACCCATAATCTGTTTTTTACATTATAGACATACATCTGTGTTTAAGGTAATCTTAAATAGGAGTACCCAACATCCTTATTCAGCTACCTTTTTATTTTAAAGGACTTATGCCTGCTGCATTCCAACCTGTGTACTGTGCTACAAAGCATGGTGTGATTGGATTCACACGGTCAATAGCAGTAAGTATGTGTTTTTGAAAACAGTATCAGCAGCTCCTTGGGAACATGCTAGGTTTCTCATGTTCCCTCTCTATTGTCACACAACTGGAACTCATTTACTTAAAGAAAACAAACTGTTTGAAGCAGTGGAGGTTTCCTCCTTACACAAAGGGAGTCCAAAGATGGAATAAGTAAGATATGTGTGTGTTTATGACTGATTTGAGGTTTGGAGAGCATGGAAGAAAAATGTTGCAAAGTAGTTTAAGGGCAGTGGGTGCAGCCCAAACGACAAATTCTTATCCAAGCTTTAAAAATATTTTTCAGAACTTCATTCCAGTTATTTAACATTTTGCTTTCCTTATTTGTAAGTCAGGTTGATGACCTTTTTTTTTTTTTGTGATAAATAAGCACTAAAGTGTGCAAAGTGTCTTGAACACAAAAATGTTTACCATTATTTATTCTTACCAGATCTTAATACTCTGAAAATGCAAAATGACACATTCAGGATGTTAGATGCTATTTGACCATATAGTAAGTCTTAACCTCTGACTCCAAAATTTCCTTGTTAAACTGAACAAGCAGTAACTTGGAGGGAGAAAATATGGTTATTCTTTCATAGGCTAAGCTTAAAGTCTGCTCATATAGAGTTCAAATCAAATTTGCAGAATAAGGTACCTGAAATAATAATTTGAATACTTTACCCGTGTTTTATGCCGCCTCCCAAATAACTTCTTTTTAGATTAACCTAAACAGATTTGTTTGGATAAGTGTTGCATACAACATATCAGCCACAGCATGAACCTGACACCTAGTTTTTCAGTTCTGTGTTTTCATCATAATACAATCATCACCACTTAAGTTAAAAAAAAAAAAAAAGGTCTCTCAGAAAATCAGAGGAAATGCTGTCTCTATGGAATACAAGAATGCCAAAGAGAAAAAAAATAACAAGTATAGCAAATCACTCTAACTTTAGAAAAGGCAGTACTGCTTAATGTTGGGCAGATATGATACAAAACATGTAGGACTTCAGTTTCTTTTATCATACAATCAAAGAATGGTTTGCGTTGGAAGAAACCTCCAAGATCATCTAGTTCCAACCCCCCTGCACAGGCAGGGACACCTCCCACTAAACAAGGTTGTTCAAAGCCCCATCCAACCTGCTCTTGAACATTTACACTGAAGAATTTATTCCTAATGTGCAACATAAATCTTCCCTCTTCCAGTTTAAAGCCATCACCCCAGGTCCTCTCACTACATGCCCTTGTAAAAAGTCCCTCCTCAGCCTTCTATAGGCTCCTTCAATTACTGGAAGGCCACTATGAGGTCTCCTCAAAGCCTTCTCCTGTTCAGGCAGAACAACCCCAACTCTCTCAGCCTGTCTTCATTGGAGAGGTCCTCCAGCTCTCTAATTGTCTTTGTGGCCCTCTTGTGGACTCACTCTGAGAGCTCCACATCTTTCTTACAGCAGGGGCTCCAGAACTGGACACAGTACCCCAGGTGGGATCTCACAAGAGCAGACCAGACCAAAAGGGCAGACTACCGTAGCATGACAAGGACATTTGATTTTCACAATCCCAAAAGATTCCTGTTAAATGTTAAAAGAAATATAACTCTGTGTTGAACAATTATGATTATTCTTGGATGTATCATTCATCAAGTACAGTGCCATCACTAAGAAAGTCCATCCAGCATTCAACATACACTTGGATGCTGATCAGACTTTTTTGCTACACACACGCATTGGTAGCGGCAGAAATGAAGAGTCCTACCACTCCCAGAACAATTTGTGCTGCTTGCTTTCATCATATTCTTGAACTGCTTCCTGAAAAAAATCCTGCTTCTTTCCTGAAGTTCACCGGGACTTTCTCAACAGAGCAGCTGGAAAAGTTTAGCATTACAGTTCTGGGGGTAGAGACCAAATCCTATTTCTGTTCATGTGAGTGAGTTAAATACAATCTTAGAGTTAAAACTTTATTTGATTTGAGACAGTTTCCTTTAAATAACAAAGTTCTGTAAAATTGAAAGCATACATTTGGGAGATTTTTTTTTAACTTGGTTTTGCTTATGAGAGTTCTGTCATCACCCTAAAATACTGTCAACGACATGCCAAGAATACTACTAACAAAAATATCAGAAAAAAAAAAAAAAACAAACAGCTGCATGGAAAGAAGAGTGTTGATTTCTTGCAGAACTGTTCTAGCAAAACATGGTTTTTGCTAGTAATCTAGTAAGATTACTAAAGAAAATGTGCTTCAAACTCAGTTGTGGAAACAAAACAATCAGTAGTAATAAAATTTGCTTACTAGGCAACGCTGAGAAGTACTTAGTGGTAAATCTCATTCTTTGAATAATTACTCACACAATACTGTTCTAAAATGTTGATGACAGACGCCTAACTTGTTCTCTTTTCTAGTTAGCTGCTAATATGGAAAACTATGGTGTGAGGCTCAACACAATTTGTCCAGGATTTGTCAACACACCGATTCTTCAATCAATAGATAAAGAAGAGAATATGGGACAATATTATTCATATAAGGATGAAATTAAAAATATGATGCAGTTCTATGGCGTGATGGAGTAAGTCAAGTCAGATACAGTGGGTTTCTGCCTTTTGTTGATGAAGAACAAGCACACACAGTAGGACTTTCAACAAAAATATATTAAAAGGGAAAAGCTGCCTCAGATAAAAGTCTACCAAATGTGTTATCCTATATACAAGGAACAAATGGCAGATATCTGAGGTTATTTTAATTATCACCTACATAGTGGTATTTCCCTTTATGCATTCCCTCTTCCCCACAAAGTGCAAATCAAATTACAAAGATGGTGTATTAGTTTTTAATAGCCCTTGGTGTTCTTTCATAAATTTATTTAATCCAACTTGTTGTGAGATACAGCATATATCATTTGTATTGAATTTCCAAAAAATTGGGAAGTGAATCAAAATAAAAATCAGACCAAGAACTGACAAAACCAGAGTACACTCATAAAAGCCTAGAAGCAATGATGGTGGATCAGATCAAAGAGCTTCCTAGTCCATTACAGAATTGCCAACAAAGGCCAAAAGCAGACAACTAGGAAAGAGGATGAGAATAAAGACAAGCACAAAGTGATACTTTTTAAACACTTTCTCAGTCTCTATCAATTAGCTGCTCAGATACTTCTGAGAAAAGGAAACTGTAAGTCTGTGTTGTTTATCCCATCCTTTTTCATACGTAAAATATGCTCCACCTATTGAACGCAGCAAATGGCACATGACAAAATTCTCCTTATGGTAATTTGTGTGTCAGTCCTGCTACAGAAACAGGATAAATCAACAGCAAAGAGCTGCAAAGGGTTGTGTAAGGATTAGTTCTGTCCATTGCCCTAACAAAGAAAACTTTGATAGGAAGCTCAGTAGCAGCAGGATGTTCACAGGTTAGAGTGAGCAAATGATGATTTTTAAAGTTGCCCCTTTGGGTTGTATGTCCTGATTGAGGAGACTGATTTTCTCTTCTGAAAAACTCATGCTGCCTCTGCTTTTATTGAAAATAAATTTGTTCGAATACCAGACTGTTTCATTTTCAGGGTATATAGATTTATACTGAGTTTCTTCACTTGTCCTTTTTATGTGTTCTATTACATCATTATTGTAAAATAACAACTTTTTTTTTTTTTTTTTTTTCAGCCCATCAATAATTGCTGAGGGACTGATAACAATTATTGAAGATGATACCCTAAATGGTGAAGTTATGAAGATTACAGCATCCCAAGGGATTCATTTTCAACAATACAGCCAAACACCTTTTACATCATCAAAGAGATAAATAATGGTTTAATGCTAATTATTTTGGCTTTATTTAAATATAAAATATTTTTAAAGAGTAATTTTTTGAAAAAAATAAAGGTTAGTGTTGTATCTAGAGCAGTAACAGTGTTTAAACATTCCCATCCTAATAACAAAGAAATGGACAAGAAAATCTGGTGTGGGAAGATGTTACTATCCTATTTTGATTATGTAAGGACCAACAATAGTATTTCTTCAGTAGAATAAACACACCGTTTTGAAGATTTTTTATTATGTAGTAATAGGAGCCAGTTTTTTTTCCTTCTGGTAGTTCTCATATACATACTTCAAGTGTATTTTAGAGGACACTGACTTACTTAATATAATTATTTTCATTATGTGTCTACTTATTTACATATCAAATTCTTCAGACCAGGAATTCAGTTTAGGAATGTTGCACACAAAGGTGCCTATAAGGAGTTAAGAATTTACTTTTCTTTTAGGAAATAGCAAATAGGACAAGAAGCAAAATATTCTTTCCTCATTCGTATATATTCAAATTAATATCACAAAAGAAAACACAAGTTTTTATATTCTTGGATTTTAGCTATTTATAAAATAGTTCAGAAATATTTTTGTTTTCTTTCATAGAGATATATATATATATATGAATTTTCTCTCTCTGTATATACAAGGATAAATACTTTGGCATTGATTGAAATATCTGCTTACTCACTAAATCTCATTTTCTAAACCTTTAAATCTAATTTTTTGCCTTGATTGATTAAAACCTCCATTAAATCCTGAACAATATGGATTTTTTTGTGTTTTATACATGTCCATTTGATATCACCATACATTTTCTTACCTGTCATATAGTAGCAATGAAAATAAAAAATTAGCTTACTTCCCTCCTGGGCACCATTGGACCTCCTGAATTCAGGTCAATCCCCAGCTACATTTATGAAGTAAACCTCGGTACTCCATGGGTTACATGCCTGACAAAAATAAATTTGCACAAGGTAATTTGTTTAGGTTCATAGCATAGCAAGATTTAATAACTCCTGGGAAAGCTGGGAAAAGTTAATATTTATCCTCCTTAGGAGTACTGACTTTAATTTCACTGATGTAAGCATTGTCTTCTTCAGCATTGTAACTAAAAGAGTAGAAACACTAATATTTACCTTCTGTGGAGTTCAAGGAGTAATAAGACTGTGAGAAAAAGAAAAGCAGCAGACACACACACCACCTTCAATTACTCATCATTCTCCTCCTGCCTCATTTTTAGATATGTTAATGTTATTTTTGCAGCCTATTTTGAATGCAATGATGCTAGCCACAACAACAGCATCCCTAAAAACATCTGCATATCCTTCTGGACTAACAGCTACTCTCTGAGTTGATCGAAGAATTTCCTAATACATGAGAGAGTACTGCAAAATATGTGGCTTTATCTAGGTCCTAATGTTGATAATCACCTACCTCTGCTTCTCTCTTTGTTAAGCAGTATTTCAATGTAGCTTCTAAACAAGGGAAGGTTTAATAATAATAGCATATGCACACTGTAACTAGCAATCATCACACTAAGACAGTAACTCAGCAGCTTCTCTTAATAATATACTTCAAATAAGGATGGTAATACTGTAAATGTCTGTATGTATATTGATGATATTGTTGCCTTGACTGCTCTTGTTCATCTCTACTCCTTGCAGCCCACCAAAAATACCTGTTATGCAGGGAGAGTTGAGTTTTCCAAGAAAAATGAAATGAAAGAATATGTAATTTAAGAATGTTAGTGATAAAAGGCCAGAATTCCAATGTTAGGTCCCTGAAGAAAGAAAAATAGAAAGAAATGTAAAGGTAATTAGAGCTAATCACTTTAGACATTGTACAATTAACTTGTGGTATTGCATTGGTACAAAATGCTAATTCTGGGAATTGGCAGTATTCTGAGAATGAATTAATAGAATGATAGAATGATTTGAGTTGGAGGGACCTTCAAGATCACCTGGTTCCAACCTCCCTGCAATGGGCAGGGACACCTCCTTCTAGACCAGGCTGCTCAAAGCCCCATCCAAATGGGCCTTGAACACTTCCAGGGAGGGGAATCCCATTTTTGTGGTATATCAATAGTCACAGAAGACAAAATCAGATTAAAATATACAATTAGACTCCAGGACACCTGGAAATTCTGAGCCTATAACTGGAAAAGAATTAAAGCCATGACTTTTTTTTCTATGTATAGGTCTTTTTGCTGGATTATTTTTGTAACTCAAAGATAGTTTCAAATCAAAACCAAATAAAAAACTTCATGAAAGGCAGAGACCGCATTCACTTCCACATCATAATCCAATGAGCAAGTCTGTGAATGCAATACATGCTCATTTGATCAAATAAACATTTATACTAAGATAAACCTCAAACTACTAGCACATCTGGAACCCCCCTGAAAGAAACAAGAAAGTAACAATGAAGTAAAACTCGTGATGCAAATGATCCTAATAGGAAAAATAGCCATCAAATTTCTACCTTTTAATTAAAAAAGAAGTGCCCTAAACCAAATACTAGTTTTCTAGTTTCGGTTAGTCTGTATTAAAGCACATCTGAGAGTTTTATCTGCACAGGAAGAACAAGTCCTAAATATGTTTTGGAAAGGTTTCCTGTAAGACTTCCCCCCAACCTTTGGAAGTCTTCCAGAAAGCAAGAAAAAGAGCATATGTTTGATTTACAGACAAATAACCAGAGAGAGAGTGGCTAGAAAGATGAGTTAAAGGGAGAAAGTGAGCTTCATTTCTGCACAAAGGCTGTTTTGAAACTTTGTCTTCATTTTGAAGTCTTGACATAATTCCAAGACTTAATTTATTTTGCCTGGGAGATCATAGTTTTTAAGATGAGTGTTCTAGTTTTCTAGGGAAACTCAGCCAAAAGGAAAAATAAATATTTTAAATGAGTGATAGTAATTGCATACAACATAAAATGACAAGTAATAATCTAGACTCATATAATGATCATTATTTGTAATGAACATTCAATTCCATGTTTACTTTTCAGTGGGTCTTTACCTTTCAAATAGGAATCTTTTAAGGGTAAAGCATAAGTATTACTAGTATTCAGTTTTTTCAGTGTTTATGGTCCTATATGAAAGGCCAAATCGTAAGGTATTTCAACCGCAATATGACATGACAGTGTTGATTTATTTATATTATTTAATGCTTTGATTCAAGCAAATATTTTTTTAAAGGTTTGGAACCACAGTCATCAACATGATTATGTGGATAACACATTATATTCTCTACAGTTCAGAAGGACCTGGACTTGACTCGTACTACGTGCATCATAAACTCATATGCATATCAGTTTTACTATTGAGGGGTGATCCATGCAGTAGTAAGTCCTCTTTATAGATTCCTTAAATTAAGGAAGTCCTGATATGAGAGACTAGACCTCTTCCTCTTGTTTCGAACATAAGTTTTGCAAACAACAAACCCCAAATAAACTTTAGTAAAGCAAAAATCTGATTTCCACTGAACTCTTGAATATGGGCCTAATCTAAAGGAACTGTACTAGATATCTAATGCTATTGCTTTGGGCAGGATGGGGCTCTTCTGACAGATAATTATTTCCTTCCTCCAGTGTTGAACTGCTCTAAACTTTCTACAGGATGATTCTCCAGCTTGAACTTCCCTTTTAGCTAAGTCTATTTGCTTTGCACCAAGAGATGCTGACAGTTTTCAGCTCTGGCTCCAAGAGCCCAGATGGTTCAATGAAAGTGAAGGATAATATCATATGACTTAGATTTTTATTTTTTTTTTCCTCCAGTACAAGAAAGAACAGTTTAATGTCAGATCAAATTTGTAATTGATACTGAGAGGGACAGTAAATAAGAAGAATTATGCTCCTATTCTGGAGGACAGTAAACAGCAAGACAATAGGTCAGGTAAAAAATTTATAAGATGCAAAAAGGTGAAACTTGAAACATCTTTGAAAAAAGTATCCCCATCCTATTGTTTATGTAGAAGACCATTTTTATAATCTGTGAATCAAATCTAAACCTGAATGCTTTCTGACTTGTATACCAATACAGTCTAATGCACTATTTCCAGGGATTCAGAGAATAAAACGAGAATCTTCACAGTAACAAATAACCCCATTGAAAAAAAAAAAAAAAAATTCAAGCAATTATGCTTTAAGCAGTGAAGCATTTGCAACAGTAACATATCCAGCTGCTTTTATTTATTCAAAAGCTCTTTGCTAATTCACTGCTGGCATCTGCTGGGCAAACCTTACAGAGATTATTACCACTGCAGGGCAGAATTAATGTCTTGCTGCAGAATTGCACTTTTTAGCTTTTACTTTCATCAGGGACTTCCTAGCCCTCCTGCAGAAGGGAAGCCACACAGGACAGGATAAAAACCTCGCGACAGATCTGACATCTGGTCCAGGATTTCTGGATGGTGTAAGGCTCTATATTTAGCCTCATGAAGCAGAAATTCATTGCAATGACATCCAAGAATGCAAAAGATCTATCTAATCCCTTATCTATCAGGACCTTGCCACCTCCTTCTCTGCATCTTCCCATTAGACTGCCTTAAACACAACATTTCAGCAGTGAACTACACTCCAGCTACACCAAAACACAACTGCTCCTGTTCAGCAGTCACCAAGAAGCTATTCGCTTAGGATATCACACCTTTCACTGATTTTGACACAAACTGTTAAGGGCAGTTTATTAGCTCACATGATGATCTCCTCCACAGAAATGGCCCAAGGTAACTCAGCAGTATTTTTCTCTGCAACGCATGCTTCCCTCAGCAGCCACAATCTCGAGAAACTAAAGAATAGAAATAAAGGCTCTCAGTTACACAGCTTGGAACTCTTATGACATGAGAACAAGCACACTTCTGCCTCTTTTCAAAAAAAATCCTACACAGATGACTTTGAGTGCACTTTCCCACAGCTGCAAACAAAGCCCACAGAAGAAAAAGAGGAAATAAAGATGTTTTTGGAACATAGGAATGTAAAAATCTTCAGAAATACAGT